GTGAGGGCCACGGAGGCTAGGAACAGATGGCAAGAGTATGGGTGGCAAGGCCTGAAGGCCAGGGCTCAGAAGGGCTGGAGCTGCCAGCGCAAAAGGCTGTCAGTGTAGACAGAAGGAGCCGGCCAGGGAGGCTCAGACAGACCAGGACAGGGCCAGCGGGCAACAGGTGAAAGCCGGGGGTGAGGGTGCCAGCTTACCAGGTGCGAGTGGCCACGGTGTGATTTCTGCTCTGCCGCCAAGAGCTGTTGGACTTTGAGCAAATTAATTAACCTCTCTGAGCCTCCATTTATATTTATATTAAAATAGGGATATAGCAGTACACCCCGTGGGGTTGTTGTAACTTTCTAGTTCACGGCAAGACTTCAACAAACAGCCATGATAACAGGAGAAGAAAGGAGCTGGGGAGACGTAGGTACAAGGGAGTGAGAGGATAGGGAAGAGAGTTGGGCCAGGAAACGGGGTCCTCAGGGAGGTTCTAAGAAAACAGAGCAGCTAGGCTTTATTTTCAGGGTTTTTTTCCCTAATTTTTTTTAAGCGGGGGAGGTAATTAGGTTCATTTATTCAGATTTCAAGGAAGGTCCTGGGGATTGAACTCAGGACCTCATGCTGCATACTAAACACGCACTCTATGACTGAGCTATACCCTAGCCCCGCCACCCCCAGCTAGGCTCTTTTCTTCTGCTCCAGGCCCTTCTGCCCTCTAGCCATCAACCCCAAAACTGGCCGTGCAGCCGCAGCCCTCAGAAGGGGCCCCTGTGGGGCAAAGGTCCCCAGAGAGAAGGACACAGGCAGAGGCCAGGTCGGGTGCCAGGCCAGGCAGGGTGGCTGGGGCTGCGGGCAGCTGTGCGGGGAAGGGCTAAGGGGCCAGGGGCCCGACCGCACAGGCGTACCCGAGGCCTGAGTCCCTCCCTTCCTCTCCGAAGCTAGGCTGGCAGCTCTGGGAGGAAGTGATAAGGCCTCCAAGGCTTCCCTTCACACGATGGCCACTGTCAGGAGGGGTGTGAGCCGGAGGGAAATCTGGGAAATCTGGACTGAGGAATCCCTGCTGGGGCTTCCTCCACTGCGAAGGAGGCTCCCTCCCTTCAAGGCAGGGTCATCTCAACTTCAGGGGGCTGAACACCCCAGGCCCAGAGGAGCAGTGGAGATGAGGACTCAGCCTGGGGCCAGGGGCTCAGGATCCCAGCACCACAGCCCCGGCAGCCCAGGGTCTGGCTGAGCATCAGGAGGCTGAGCAAGGCAGGAGTGAGGCAGGCCTGGGTGTAGAAGGGGCAGCTCTGCCCATGCGGGCCCTGGCAAGATCCTTAACTTCTCTGAGCCTCAGATCTCTCATCTTTAAATGGGAGTACGCTATTGCCTACTTCCTAAGGCGGTTGTGACGACTGATGAAAGAGAAGGCAGGCAAGCAGTAAATCACTAGATTACTAATGCTGTACATCCAAAAGCCACACTTCTCTCCCATGACCCTGCCCTGGCTCCCAACAGCCCCCCGCTTACCCGGCCTCCAGAGGGGCCCAGGTTCCCTCGTGTGAAGAACTGGGAGGTGGGAAGCATCGCCTACGACACTCTGAGTGCTCAGTCACAGCAGGTATGGCCCAGAGCACCCCTCTCCCAAGTTAGGGGTCAAGATGGTTGAGGCCCATCCCCTCCAGCACTGGCCCCTCCTCTCCAAAAGTGGAGGAGACTGGGAAGAACCAGAGGGGCTAAGGGATGCTCAGGGGACTTCTATCACTCTCAGCCTCCAGCCATTGCCCTGAGTCCTGCCCAATTCCGCCTTATTTCCAGTCTTAGCCCAGGCTCTCCGCCGACTCCTCGCGGCACCCTCCCTCCCTCGGCCCCAGACTCCGGCCTCCGGGCCCCGCCCCCCAGCCCCTTCCCCCTGATCTGGTCCTGACTTGTGCTCCCCGCTCTCCCGGCTGCCCCCTACTCTGACCCAGGACGGGCCCTGTACCCCCCGACGCTGCCTGGGCTCCCTCGTATTTCCACGGAAACTGCCAGGCCGGCCCTCCCAGGGCCCTCCACCCGCTGAGCAGCTGCTGAGCCAGGCCCGGGACTTCATCAACCAGTACTACAGCTCCATCAAGAGGTGAGAGCCTCCTCAGAGATCCACAGCCCACCCTTGTCCTCTGACCGGGTCCTGCTGAGACCTAGAAACGGTGTCCCTTCTCCCAGGGCCTCTCTCATTATTCCCCCATCCTGACTCTCAAGCAGGGCCTGAGCTCACCACCCTTTCCGCAACACTCACACAGGCCTGCACCCGCCCCCCACGACTTCTTTCTGCTCCCTCTCCTCCCCAGGAGTGGTTCCCAGGCTCACGAGCAGCGGCTTCAGGAGGTGGAAGCCGAGGTGGCAGCCACGGGGACCTACCAGCTTCGGGAGAGCGAGCTGGTGTTCGGGGCCAAGCAGGCCTGGCGCAACGCTCCCCGCTGTGTGGGCCGGATCCAGTGGGGGAAGCTGCAGGTGTGACTGGCCAACAAGTACCCAGGTTGGGGGCTGGGGGACATAGAAGAGGAAAAGAGGGGTGCAACAAATCCTGAGTCTTCCCTGGGGGGCCCCAAGCAGTGGGGACATTCCTGCCTGTTCCCTGAGAGACTGGTACTTCCCAGGGGAGCTCTCAGCCCAGGAGCTAACACCTGGTTGTTAAGCCCCATAGCAGTGCCTGGGTTGGGGGAGAAACATTTGGATGGACGGTTGGATGGACGGATGGACGCACTGAGTAGTTGAGGACAGATGAGCAGTGATCCCTGGGGGTACTGTCAGAACAAAGGCCTCTGACGGCTTCTTCTTCGTGGGCCTCACTTGCCCAGCGCAGCCTCCTCATCCCAGACGCACCTCCCAGTCTCTGGTGATTGGTCCCCACACCCTCCTTCACACATGACCCACAGCGCACCCGGAGTTACTGGAACAGCCTGTGGCCAGGCACTCAGAGAAGCAAGCTGACCCGCAGGGGAACTGAATCCATTACCTTGGCCTCCCTAGCTATAACTGGACACCAGAGAATCTGGAATAAAGCCACATGCTCAGTAAATCCCAAAGGAGTCTCGAATCAAATCAGAACAATCCTGTCTGACACTTGCATAATCCCTTAAACTGTGCAAAGCTCTAGCTCAGCTCTGAACCCATCAGAAATTCTATATTTGATTCCGCTCATGCCCTCAGGCCAATCATTGCCACCCCTGCCCCTGTCACTAACACAAGTCTGCTACCTGAAGCAGGAAAGGGACCTCCCAGCCTCTTGCTGGGGCCTCCACCCATCTGTCAAGAAGACTTCTCTTAGCATCAGAAAGTCAGGAAGTGCAGAGTCCCCGGAGGCACCTACTGCAGCCACCCCATCCCATCATCACTGTGCTCAAGGAGAGTCAGAAAACTGGCGAGAGTCACCTGCCTTTGCTTGAGCACCATGGGTGAAGGGGAACTTACCACCCACACCCCTAGGTGGCCTCCCGGTCATCAATTTAGCAGTGACTTGGTCCCTCCTCAGTACCAGGCACCAAGTCAGCTTCTGTAGGGATGGGGAGACACTTGCCCCAGCAAGAGACAAGGAGCAGACCATGCTATGCCAGGCTTACTGGGTGAAGGGCAGGAAGGGGTAAGTGTGGGTGCAAATGGTCAGGGAAGCCCTCCAGAGGATAAAGAACCATGCCTAACAGCTTGTGACACCCCCAGCCTTTGAAAGCTTCGGAGTACCTCCCCTGCCTCCTTCCCTTCTCCTGGGGCTGATCCTCAAGACCCCCATCTCCCTCCTGTCTCCCTGCCTCGGATGGCTCAGGTGTTTGATGCCCGGGATTGCGGCTCTGCACAGGAGATGTTCACTTACATCTGCAACCACATCAAGTATGCCACCAACCGGGGCAACCTTCGGTGAGTGCCCCGCATGCTGTCGAGACCCCACCCCTCCCCCAGGCACACCCAATGACGTTGGGCTCTGACCAGCTCTCGTCCCCATGTCAGCTCGGCCATCACAGTGTTCCCCCAGCGCACTCCGGGCCGTGGAGACTTCCGAATCTGGAATAGCCAGCTGGTGCGCTACGCAGGCTACAGGCAGCAGGACGGCTCCGTGCGGGGTGATCCAGCCAACGTGGAGATCACTGAGGTGGACACAGAGGCGGAGAAGGGGGAGGCCAGCCCATGAGGGCTTGGGGAGGAGGCAAGGGGGTCCAGTCAAAGAGTGGTCAGTGCAGCAGGGAGAGGGGACCTCACTGAGATGAAGGATGGGAGATGTCAAAGAAGGGGGTTGGGCCCCCCAGACCCATCTCCGACCTCACTCCCAGCAGCTCTGCATCCAGCATGGCTGGACCCCAGGAAACGGTCGCTTTGATGTGCTGCCCCTGCTGCTCCAGGCCCCAGATGAGCCTCCAGAACTCTTTGCTCTGCCCCCCGAGCTGGTCCTTGAGGTGCCCCTGGAGCACCCAACGTGAGCACGAGAGGGACTGGGTCAGGTGGAAGAGGGGAAAAGAGGGGCTACCCAGTGGGTGGGCAGGCAGGCAAGGCTCCACAGGGACTGATCCCACGCCCTGATGCCCCCAGGCTGGAGTGGTTTGCAACCCTGGGCCTGCGCTGGTATGCCCTCCCGGCAGTGTCCAACATGCTGCTGGAAATCGGGGGCCTGGAGTTCCCTGCGGCCCCCTTCAGCGGCTGGTACATGAGCACTGAGATCGGCACTCGGAATCTGTGCGATCCTCACCGCTACAACATCTTGGAGGTGAGGACTGGGCGCAGGTGGCAGGGGCGGGGGCCAGCAGAGGGACACACTAGGAACTGTGGGCCCCACCCCATCCAGGGCTGGAGGTTTTGACTCACAAACAAGTATACAGGATGTCAGCAACGGGGAGAATCTAAGCAAGGTCAGGTCCAGTCTGCCTCCTAAGCTAGAAGGGCAGAGGAGGGTTCTGGAACCACCAAGTTTAGGGCAAAGGGGGGCACATCCCAAAGCATGAATATATAGTTTTTTTCTGTGGATAGGTTCTCTAGCTCTATAGCTTTCATCAGATTCTCAAAGTGGGTCTTGACTTGAAAAGTGTTAAAGCCCTTTTAGAGATGAGAAATTAAGGCTAGGGCTGAGAAGTGGCTGGCCCAGGGTCCCTCTCTGCTCTGTGGTGCCTTTGCCAGCTAGAACCTGAATCAGCTCCAAACGAAGCGGTCAGGCCTCCTGACAGCCACACACCCACCCTGACTCCTTTCACTCACGAGTCAGAGATAGAGATGCTCTCTGTCACCCTCCACTGCCCCATGCCTAACAATGCCATGCACT